CCAAATGTCTGGCTCACTGCTGCCAACTAGTGGTCAGAGGCTGAACTACAACATAAAAATGAACGGCTGGCAGAAAAGTTGACATTTTAAACCTTAATTAAAAATTGATACAGGGCTTTAGAATATCATTACAGTATCAGGAAATGAAATATCGCGATATTTCAGTGTATCGATATTTTCTTACACCCCTAGTCTCTAGTATATTTGATATACTTAAACTTATACTCAAGTATACTCATTAAAATGAACTTCAAGTATATTACTTTTTGCTAAGGGTGTCCCTTTATTTGGGTCAAAGCACTCCTGAAGCAGAGACGTCAGCGTCTTACCTGGGCCGAGGACAGGGGTCCGACGTCATCTCTTCGTTTGGAAATCCAGCTCAGGGAGTCTGGATCCAGGTCCAGGAGGAGGAGGAGAGGAGAGGCACAGAAACCAAGCTGTGTGAGGTTTCCACAGTCTGTAGTGACCGACTGGTTCTGGTCCACATTTGTCTACAAGAACATTTTAGACTTTGTCAGTAGGACTGAGGACCTGCCTTTATCACCAAAAGTTTTAGCTTTTAGTTTAGTTTATTCATTCATTTTTATTAAAAAACAATAAATTTTATATACAATAAAAATACAAATCATAAATGAAAGTGATGTGTGGAGAAATGGGCTTGGATTTTGTCACATTTGTCATTTTCACTGCAAGCTGAAGCTAGCAGACTGTTTTATTTCCAGCAGGTAAATCTTAATATCCAAATATTGTTTGAGGTTTCCTCTTTAAAAGGACATCAAAATATTTCTCATTAGAATAAACTAAAATTAGTTCAGATTAAATATCAATGAGTAATCCCGATTAGGAACAAATCGAGCCATATCTGGAACTGATCATGATCCACGTAACAAAATGTAGCTTAAAGGGCCTGTGACATCAAATTTTTGTAATAAACATGTAGGGGTCACCTCGAGTGAAGAAACCAGATTTTCTGCCTCGAAGCAGGTCTCGGACAGGCCTGACGAGAGGACAGGAACTCTGTCACAAACTGAACTCTATTTTAGGCCATGACAGGTCATTCTAACCGTGGAAGAGAACCTCTCAGTTCTCTTAATCAGATAATGGACAGAACAATCTCTTCTGGTCGTGATTCATTTGTTGTTTAACTATAATGTTTATGCATTTGTTAAATCATGATAATGCCTGTCACAGGAAACGTGGAACCACTTCTTTTCTTTTATCGTACCTTAAAGATTTATAATGGTATAAAAAATCACAGAGAATCTGATTACAATGTTTTTTAAACGCCGTGTTTAAACCCTGTTTGACTACTGTGAATTTTCATTCCATAAGCTGTTTCATAAATGCGCAGCTCGTGCGCAACGCTGAGCTGCGTTATAAAAAAACTGGCAGCCATTTTCTTGCAGAGTGTAGCAGCGGAGGCGGGACTCCCTGCGTTAGACGCTCTGTGATAGGCTGACAGCTTGTCATTCTGCTGGTTAAATCAGATTGAAGTGTCTTTCTTGAAACTGTCCACATCTGCTGGTTTTAAAAGGAATTACACGCTTCAAAAAACTTAATGCATTTTTGTAAAGACAACATTGATAAAATATTGCAAAACAAATTTCGTGTCGCTGAGATGAACAGTTGTTGAGATATTTGCGTGTGAAGAAACAGGAAGTGATGTCACAGGGGAATGTCTGCATGTAAACAGAGCGTTGTTACAAAAGCTAACAACACAGACTGTAGAGAAGAATCTGATGTTTCTGTAGATTATTTTGAGTTTCTATCAAAGAGAGACGAAGAAGAGTAAATGTTAAAATTTTGTTTGATAAACAAAGACCAGAGTTTATTTTATTAACTAGTTCCCCTTTGATGTCACTTCCTGTTTCACTTTGGCTGAGCCAAATTCAAAAGAAAATAGGCCAGTTATGTGACAAAATCAAATACAAAACGTCAAAGAAAACATCTTTATACTTAAGAAAATTGGTATAGTACACAATTTTACCCATTTTGTCTCATAACTGGCTTATTTTCATTTGAATTTGGCTCAGCCAAAGTGATGCAGTGTTGTAACAATGCTCTGTTTACATGCAGACATTCCCCTATGACATCACTTCCTGTTTCTTCACATGCAAATATCTCAACAACTGTTCATCTCAGCGATGTGCAATTTGTTTTGTAACGTTATTAATGTTGTTTCTCCAAAAATGCATTCATATTTATTACAAAAATCGGATGTCACAGGCCTTTTAAAAAGCAGGAATGTGAAAATGTGCCGAGGTCATTTTGACCAGATTTGACTTGAACCTCAGTTTGATGTGACGAGTCATCAATAAACCTCTGAGAGGCGGGACGTTCTGCAGGGAAACCCCGCCCACCAACGCTCCAGGTGTCATCAGGATGTAAATAATAATAAATGTGTGAACCTTCCAGATCAGAGTACAGCTCAGGAGCAGTGATGGCCTGCGCTCGGGTTCCCCTGGACGAGCAGCAGGTGACGGAGCGTGGAGCTCAGGGGAAGGAGCGCACTCTGCCGGCGCTGGTGGGTCCGGTTTTTTTTGTTTTTTTTTAAACCAAACGGGAGCTCTCAGGAAGGCTTCTTTCCTCGCTGACAGCGTTTTTTGTTTGGCAGCACCCGGACAGGAAGGAGGAGCGCTGCTTCGTGCCTTACAGACCTCCTGCAGGAGGCTCTCCTGCAGAGGTGGAGGAGTTCCTGGAGCTCGCCAGGTTCATCGTGGAGGAACTGGAGTGGCTGCTGGCGCTGCCCCACGACAGGTTCTGGTGTCAGGTAGGAGGCTGGCGCCGGGGGGGGTGGGGGCGGGGACAGGAAGTCAGACTCCGTCATTCTGGTCTCGTCCACCAGGTGGTGTTTGACGAGTCCCTGCAGAGGTGCCTGGACTCGTACCTTCGTCACGCCCCTCGAGGCCTGGACCTGGCCGCGCTGCCCGCCTCGCCGGCCGTGGCCGACGTGCAGCGCGCCCTCCACAGGGCGGTCTTCCTCACCTTCCTCCGGATGGCCACGCACAAAGAGTCTAAGGTGGGACGGAGGGATCAATAAACTTTATTGTTTTTTTAACTTTTAATTTGTACGAAAACCTTGTTCCTTCCTTCAGGAGAACTTCTTCACTCCCGCTGTGTTCGGAGAGATTATCTACGACAACTTCCTGTTTGACATTCCCAAACTCCTGGATCTGTGCGTCCTCTTCGGGAAAGGCAACAACCAGCTGCTGCATAAAATGATCGGTCAGCTGTTTGTGGAGGATTTCTGCTGAGTCATCGTTCACTCCACTGTTTCATTCTTATTTATTCAAACATATTCTTCTTCTGCAGACTTTATTTTAGCTGTTCGTATGTTAAATGTTCGGCTCATTCAGGAGTAGAGAGCTCCGACTTTGAGTTGTTGGAGTTTTTATACTTTTCAAAATATTTAACTTTATTTACAAATGTTTTCTCCATAGAGACACTTTGAGATCCTTTAAATCCTTAAAAACTTTTAACTTTGAAATCTGCTTCAGCTACTGGTTCTGGTTTAGTCTTCTTTAGCTACTTTTAGCTTTCAACTAGCCTACTGCAACATTTAGCTTTCAACTAGCCTGCTGCTACTTTTAGCTTTCAACTAGCCTGCTGCTACTTTTAGCTTTCAACTAGCCTGCTGCTACTTTTAGCTTTCANTTCAACTAGCCTGCTGCTACTTTTAGCTTTCAACTAGCCTGCTGCTACTTTTAGCTTTCAACTAGCCTGCTGCTACTTTTAGCTTTCAACTAGCCAGCTGCTAGCTTCATCTTTCAACTAGCATTAAGCTACATTTAGCTTTCAACTAGCCTGATGCTATCTTCATCTTTAAACTAGCCTTTTGCTGCTTTTAGCTCATTTTTGAGCTTTTAATCATAAATCAGTTATTTTGCTAAATAATTTATTGGTACATGGATTTATATTAAATAATTAGTCCTAGTTGCAGTGAAGGTTAAGAAAAATGTGTTATTATTATCATTTACTTTGTTATTATTATTATTATTATTTACTTTGTTATTTTAGCTTTTAGCTAGCGTTCTGCTTCTTTTAGCTTTAACTCAGTTGCAGCATCTTTAGCAGTTCTTTAGCTCTGAGTATTTTTCAGGTTTTAATTCATATCGACTGTAATTATTCTTATTTTTTCTTCTAGAAAATATTTTTACTCAGCAGCCGGCCTACTTCAGCGACCTGAACGAGACGATCCCGACCGTGCTGCAGGTGAGATCTTTAACCAGTTTTCAGGATTTATAAGAGTTTTATTTGTATTTATTTTTTGGATTGACTCCAGGTGTTTGACGCGATCCTGGAGAAGTGCGGTCTGCTTTGTGAAGGAGCTGCAGCTACAGAGCCCATGAAGTTAAACGCCCACAAACAGGCCTCTGCCATGACCATGAGTCAGCAGGTTGGAACCAAACGTTTCATTTAATGACTCAGCATGTCATTAGATTAGTAATAAATGATCTTCAGTGGTGATACTTTGTCACATTTACTAAATGTTTAACCTCGGTGTGGCTCTTTAATCTTTAAACATTTTTGTTTTTGTTTTCAGGAACTTGTGGATATTATTTTGTACCTGTGTGACTCGACCACCACTGTCCACGCCTTCCTGGACATTTTCCCCGCCGCGTGCTCCAGTTTCCAGTCCCTCGGCTTCCTCAGCAGGTAAACTGATGAAGATCTCAGCCGACAGCATCGCTGCTCAGAGGAGTGGTTTCTGAATAAAACACTTTGAAATTAATCTCTGTAGAAATGCATCTCAGTTCATTAAAATCATTTTTAATCTATTTTAGAGTTCATCCTCTGTTTTTCATTTTTACTCTGCTCATTTTAGCTCCTGTTTGGCTCATTTTAGCTACTGTTCTCATCATTTTAGCTCTGGTTAGCTTATTTTAGCCACTGCTCTGCTCATTTTAGCTAATGTTAGCTCATTTTATCTACTGTTCTGATCATTTTAGCTCCGGTTAGCTTGTTTTAGCCACTGCTCTGCTCATTTTAGCTACTGTTAGCTTATTTTAGCCTTTGCTCTGTGCATTTTAGCTACTGTTAGATCATTTTAGCACTGATCTGCTCATTTTAGCTACTGTTAGCTCATTTTAGCTACTGTTCTGCTCATTTTAGCCTCTGCTCTGCTCATTTTAGCTCCTGTTGGGTTCATTTTAGCTACTGTTAGCTCATTTTATCTACTGTTCTGATCATTTTAGCTCCGGTTAGCTTATTTTAGCCTTTGCTCTGCTCATTTTAGCTAATGTTAGCTCATTTTAGGTACTGTTCTGATCATTTTAGCCTCTGCTCTGCTCATTTTAGCTCCTGTTTGGCTCATTTTAGCTACTGTTAGCTCATTTTATCTACTGTTCTGATCATTTTAGCTCCGGTTAGCTTGTTTTAGCCACTGCTCTGCTCATTTTAGCTACTATTAGCTTATTTTAGCCTTTGCTCTGCGCATTTTAGCTACTGTTAAATCATTTTAGCCACTGATCTGCTCATTTTAGCTCCTGTTTGGCTCATTTTAGCCTCTGTTCTGCTCATTTTAGCTTATGCTATGCTCATTTTAGCTTATGCTATGCTTATTTTAGCTCCTGTTAGCTCATTTTAGCCTCTTCTCTTCTCAGGTTAACTCAGTTTCAGCTTCAGTAAACTTTAGCTCTTGTCCCTGTGCTCAGGCTGACCTCGTTCTATGAGGCTGCGGTCCCTGAGCTGCAGAAGGCCGTGAGGAAGAGGAACTTTGACGATGAAAGGTGAGTCAGACCTCAGAGTCCAGGTGCAGACCTCAGAGTCCAGGTGCAGACCTGAGAGTCCAGGTGCAGACCTGAGAGTCCAGGTGCAGACCTGAGAGTCCAGCTGCAGACCTGAGAGTCCAGGTGCAGACCTCAGAGTCCAGGTGCAGACCTGAGAGTCCAGGTGCAGACCTGCTGGGATCCACGTGAACCTTCTTCTCCTGTAGCCTGCAGGAGGACCTGTGGAAACGGCTGAGTCACTGCTGCCGTAAGATGGTAGAGACGGCTCACCTGCTGCTGCACCACACCTGCCTGCAGCCCATCCTGGACAGGTGAGACTGTGGGGGCGTGGCTCAGATCGACGACAGAACCTCGGTTCGCTCTCTAACTCCCTTTCTCTCGTTTCAGCGAAGAAAACTCTCAAACGTTCGCAGATGAACTCCTGCAACATTTTACGTCTTTTTTGCCTGAGAAAAGGTGAGAAAATGTAAAAAGATGGCAGCCGGGGGCGGGGCTAACCTGGCTAACCTCCAGGATGATCCTTTCAGGTTTGTGGTGGACTACGATGAGCAGTTTCCCATCGCAGACGACATCAGCCTCCTGCAGCAAGCCCTGCCGCTCGTGTATCCTTCAGAAACAGATATTTATCAAACGATTTGTTTAAATCTCACCACGTTTGGAGGGTTTGTTCTTTAACGGCTCGTTTCCTGCAGCGATGAAACCAGGACGTCTTATTTGCTTCAGGGGGTTGAGGGTGCCTGGGACAGCTTGGGCCGACAGAAACCACAGAGCCTCCTCCAGAATAACCGCTCCTCCTCCTCCTCACCTCTGTCAGCCAATCAGGGAGCGGCGAGCGGCTTCGAGCCTCAGGAGGTCAAGGAGCCCAAAGGAGGGCGGAGCCTGAAAGGAGCAGAGGCCGCGGTGGACGTTGCTCAGAGAGGAAACAACGTGAGATCTGTGGTTTTTAAAGAAAATGACTTTAAATGATTTTATTACAAACATTGAAGCTGAGATTTTGTTATGAACACATTATTGGATTGATAAAATGTCAAAACCAAATTTAATATGGGAACAATTCAACTTGGTACACACACGTTCAGTACTAGATATGTAAGAAGTACTTACCCTGCTACATACTCTGTAAGTACCGGGTAGGCTCTGGCTACATACCCACTAAGTAACTTGTAAATTAGGTATGCAATAATTAGCAGGTAAATTCCAGGTATGTATGTATGTAGGTAGGTAGGTACCGGGTACGCAGCCTGCAAGTACCTGGCAGGTTCTGGGTACGTAGCCTGCGAGTACCTTAAAAAATGGTGTAAGTATCGGGTAAATTCCCAGTATGTACCCAACAGATAACCTGATACATAGCCTGTAAGTACAGGCAAAATTTATGGTACGTAGCCTTCCAAGTACCCTGTAGATTCTGGGTACGTATTGGTACCTCGTAGTCTTCTATTGTTAAATAAATAAAGTTTTGAACATGGAACATGTAACAAAACAAAATGGTCTAAACCTTTCTGACTCTAAAACTGACTTTTATCCCTCCCTGGTCCCGGTCCCGGTCCCATCCCGGTCACGTCCTGTCTTCAGGGAGCCGTGTGTTCTGTGAGCGGCCCGGAGCTGGAGTCCCTCTTGTCCTGCATCAGGGACCTACTTCCTGATTTGGGCGAAGGCTTCCTGTTGGCATGCCTGCAGGAGTACGACTACAACTCTGAGCTCGTCATCAACAACATCCTGGAGGATCGGTTAGCCCCCAACCTGGAAAAACTGGACCGATCCATGCCCAGGTACCACGTGGACCCAGTCGAAGTGATCCTGAAGCTTCTAGTGTGTCCAGAAATAATATTTTAAACCTGAGTGACGTCTGCGTCGCTCTGCTCCGTTGGCAGGTTGCCCAAGGAGGAGCTTCCAGTCGTCCTGGACAGCCGATCCAACGTCTTCGATGACGACGAGTTTGACGTCTTCCGCAGGGACCAGGTGGACATGTCTCGCATCTGGAAGGGCAGGAGGTACAGCCGCAACGTCCCAATCAAGATTTGAGACAAACGCTCCTGAAAACCGCCAACTTTATGGCAGTTTTTTCGATGGAGCTACTTTTATCCGTTAATCTATCGAAGCTCATTCAGGAGAGCGAAGCCACGGCTCTGATTCACTTCTGATTTTAATCCTGCAGGAAAGGAGAGAGCACCCGGGACATGCTGAACGACAAGAAGCACGTGGCCGAGCAGCGAGCTCGTTATCAGGCCTACGAGACCGTGGTGGACGAGGTCGTCATGGAGCCCGGGCAGTCCGCCGCCGACTACGACCTGGACGACTACGACGACGACTACGACGACACCTACGACGTGAACCAGGTGGGGGCCAACGATCTGGATGGAGACAGTCTGCTGAGCAGAAGGTACGTTTTTCTCCATTAAAGATCAACGTTTAATAAACCGTGGACGAATGTAGACGTGATGTTTGTTTTCCAGGCCTTTCACCATCCCGCAGGTGCTGAGGAAAGGAACCAAAGCAGAAGAGGAGGCGGAGAGTGAAGAAGACGAAGAGGAAGAGGTTTTACCGGTACATTTTTTTACCAGCCTACATATTCAAACCACTAAACCAACCAGAACAAACCAACAGTCCTTGTGTTTTCAGAACGTCAACAGAGACCAGTTCGTTCAGGACCCAGCTCTGCTGAGGGAACGGGCCGAAGCCAGGAGAGCCGCCATGCAGCAGAGGAAAGGGTAAAACTCTCAGGCTTCAGCCTAAAGGATGCTCATTGTGAAGAATGAAGTTTAACCTGAACTGAAATCACAGTGAAGAAATACTGTAGAAATACTGTAGAAATACTGTAGAAATACTGTAGATACACTGTAGATACACTGTAGATACACTGTAGATACACTGTAGATATACTGTAGATATACTGTCGATATACTGCAGATACACTGTCGATATACTGTAGATATACTGTAGATATACTGATGAGGTACGCACTCGACGTAAACAAATATGACAGAATCCGTCAAGATTAGAGGTAAAAATGACTTGGGTGAACATTTGCATCATGTCTCATCAAACCAAGGTTTGAGTTGTAAAGTAGTATCGGTGAGATTTAGTATAAAAATAATTGGATTTAGTCAAAATATAAATAATTAAAACCTCATCTGTAGATGTGTTCTTTTAAAGTAAACGTCTGAAAACTAAACTAAAGAATGTTTTCCAGGTATGCAGATTCAAAGTAAAAGGTATCTAGAATGTAAATACAGAGAAAATTTTGGTTACGTAGCCTAAAATACCAAGTAAATTCCAGGTATGTATCCTATAAGTACTGGATACGTAGCCTAAATGTACCGGGAAAATTCCAAGTGCGTAACCTAAAAGTACCCGAAAAATTCTGAGTATGTAGCCTAAAAGTTCCGAGAAAATTCTAGGTAAGTAGACTAAGAGTACCAGAAAAATTCCAGGTATGTATCCTATAAGTACTGGATACATAGGCTGTGTCCAAAACGACAGGCTGGGTCCTCCGGAGGACCCAGACTCCCCGGTCGCGGCGGGCCGGGTCCTTGGTAGACCGGGAAGACCGGAAAAAAAAGAGGCTGTGGATTTGGACGGTCTAGCCTCCCCTCCTTACCCCGGCGTACGTCATGTCACCTAGCAACTGTGATGACGCTAAACAAGCAAACTTAAATCAAAACTAGAAAATTATCAATACATTAGCATTATTAATATCACAAAACAATAAAATTAACTTAAAGGTAACATTTGAAGAACTAATTGAGCCGCTGTAGGTGCATGTTTATTTCGCGTTTTTTATGAAGAAAAAATAATATTTAAAAACATGTCCATACAAATGATAAAAGTATTAGAATTACAACCGCTAATTTTTTTTAACTTTTATATCGCCATATTTTTATTTAAAATGTATTCTTTTCTCTCGCTTCGTCCGCCATTACTAGCATAAAAAAATCTCCGGTCGGGCCGCAATGCATTATGGGATACGTCATTATGGGCTGGGAAGGATCCATCGGACCTGTCCTTCGATTCGGGCCAAAGGAAGGACGTATTTGTCGGCCGCATCGGAGGAGTCTTCGGTTTTGGACGTCCTTCGTCACGGCGCTGTGACGAATGTGGCCGACAAATTCGACCTTCGGGGGACCCGGCCTGCCGTTTTGGACACAGCTATAGCCTAAATGTACCGGGAAAATTCCAAGTACGTAACCTAAAAGTACCCGAAAAATTCTGAGTATGTAGCCTAAAAGTTCTGAGAAAATTCTAGGTAAGTAGACTAAGAGTACCAGAAAAATTCCAGTTTGTAGCCTAAAAGTACCGGGCACATAGCCTGAATGTTCGGGGAAAGTTCCACATGCATAGATTAAAATTACCAGGAAAATAAGTACTGGGTAAATTCCAGTTACGTAGCCTAAAAGTACCAGAAACATTCTGTGTATGTAGTCTAAAAGAACAGGGTACATAAAAGTCTTAAAAGTACCGGGAAAATTCTGGGTGTGTAGCCTAAAAGTACGCGAAAAATTCAGAGTATGTAGCCTAAAAGTTCAGAGAGAAGTCTAGGTAAGTAGACTAAGAGTACAGAAAAATTCCAGGTATGTATCTTATTATACATAGCCTAAATGTACTGGGTAAATTCCAGGTACATTACCTAAAAAGTACCCGAAAAATTCCGGGTATGTAGCCTAGAAGTTCCGAGACAATTCTAGGTAAATCAGTTTGATTCAAAAATATTTTATTGATCCCAGAGGGAAATTAGGTAAATTAGGTAAGTAGCCTAAAGGTAAAATTTTGGGTTCATAGCCTTAAAGTACCAGAAACATTCTGTGTATGTAGTCTGAAAGAACTGAGTACATATCCTAAAAGTACTGGTAAAATTCGGGTGCTCATCCTACCCAACATACCGAAAACTAAACCTCAAGAATGTTCTGAAGCACTGTTCGAAGAAGAGCCAACAGGTAGAATGATGTTTTTAGCTGTTTTCAGTGACGTCTTCACAACGAGCACCTTGAAGCAGCTGGTCTACAGTCTGCTGGGTTTGTTGTTCCGTAATGAATCTGGTTCTGTTAACCCCGCCTCCTCAGCGTTCGACCCGGGCGGTCCAGCGACGTGGTGGGACGACCCAAAGGCCAGGGACAAACCTCAGAGACGGCGGCGGACAGACGCAAGAAGGAGTCCAACAAGAGCCGCGTGGCCAATCACAACCGGCGCTCCATGGCCGACCGCAAGAGGAACAAAGGCATGATCCCGTCCTGACGGCCCGGCAGGAGGGTCCGATCAGAACAAACTAATGATTTTCTTTAAGTAGCTGATTAAAGAGCAGGAGTCAAAAACTGACCACAAAAAAAAGACTTTTTATTTTTATGATTGTTAAATTTGTTTCACGTCAGGGGAAAAGAAGGAAGTGACGTCCTGCAGCTTCCTGTTCAAACCGAACAGAACCTTTAGGAACGACTCAGAACACAAACTGTTTTCTACAAAAAAAAAAAACAACTTTCAGAGCTTTTTCTAACTGATCGTTTTTGGAGATTAAACAGCAGAAACATCCTAAAATAAAAAATTTAACGTTTTCAGTCACAAGTTTCGTCTCAACGTTTATTTAATTCACTTCTGCAAAGGTTAAAATAAGTCAGGATTATTTTAAACTGTCATTAAATTATTTAGACTCGTGTTTTATGTTCTGGAAGTTAAACCTTTTCTCCACACAAAATAAAACGTTAAAGTGCCCGTGACACGTCTGTCCTTCAAATATGTGACTCGTCACATCGAAACGAGGATTAGGTCCAAAAATGGAACGCGGAGAAAGACGGTTTGATTTAAACGTGTGCAAAAATCGCATTTTGTCAAAATATAATGAATAAAAGTCTTATCAATGTATCATTTGAACTGTCTGAAATATAATCCTAAAACAGACTTTCAAAGCATTTTTTTAGCAATAGCGCAAAAAAAAACTGATTTTGAGGAAAAACTCCGTAAAATTTTAAATTTTTCCCTGTGAGATAGCAATGTTTTAGTTTCTTTCCAGCTGAGAAATCTTAATATACAAATATTTGAGGTTTTCTCTCTATATTAACATAAAAAAATACTCAATTAATTTACATAAAATTAGGATTTGGACTAAACAGCAACATATTATTGTAACCAACAAGACAAATTAAGTCATATCTCTGGATAAACTTATATCAGGATGATCCAGGTATCAAAATGTAGCTTTTAAAGCCAGAATATGAAAATGCGATGAGGTCATTTTAACTATATTTGATTTAATCCTCATTTCGATGTGATGGCTCACATAGAAAAAGTCAAAGAAAGTATCTTTATACTTAATAAAATTAGCATAGTACACGATTTTACCACGATTTTACCCATTTTGTCCCATAACTGGCCTATTTTCTTTTAAATTTGTCTCAGCCAACATGAAACAGGAAGTGACATCAAAGGGGAACTCATTAATAAAATAAAACTGTTTTTGTTTATTAAAACAAAATTATTTAAACTTTTAACTCTTCTTCATTTCTTTGATAGAGACTAAAACTAATCTTAAACATCAGATTCTTCTCCACAGTCTGTTAGCTGTCGTAACAACGCTCTGTTCACATGCAGACATTCCCCTCTGACATCACTTCCTGTTTCTTCACATGCAAATATCTGAACAACTGTTCATCTCAGTGACATGAAATTTGTTTTGCGACATGTTATTAATGTTATCTTTCCAAAAATGCATTCAGGTTTATTGCAAAAATTTGATGTCACAGACCCTTTAAACAGACGTCTCTCTTTAAGTTTCAAATTAAAAGCACTGAATGTAACATTTAGAAATACTTTGAGGTTCTCTGTTTTTACACATTAAAGCCACATTTTCACAAACGCGTCCAGTTTTCAAGGTAACAACGGCACCGCCGCGTCACCGCTCTGAGTTTATCCCACCGCCGTGTCTCTGCGAGACGTTTGTTCCCATAATGCACTGCTGGAAACAGGAAGTTGTGGAGGTGAGGTCAGTTTGGAGAGCTATAAACAAAAAAAAAGGGTACTGGAGTGTCGACGGAGTCAGGATCCGGTCCCCAGGAGGCGGAGCGGCGAAGCGATCGTTAGCTGTCCCTGCAGACGCCTGCATCAGAGGACAGACTGGTTTAAAACCAGCTCAGACTGGAGAGGATGAACAGAGAACAGGTGCGCACTCACCCAGGATGCTGCGTTTGCACAGAGGACAGGTGTGCTGCAGCAGCAGCCAGGGGTCCACACAGTCCCTGTGGTACTCGTGAAGACACGGTAGGACCCGCAGACACTGAGGGGCACAAGGACCCTTTACAACCAACACTTCCATCAGGGGGGCGGGGCTAAAACCACTGACCCACCTGGTTGTTGTTGAACGCCTCCAGACACACGGCGCAGTTGTCTGTTTCTATGGGTTCTGACGGGTCGCGCCAGGGTTTGGGCTGACGGTACCGTTTGGTTTTCAGCGACGACATTCTCCTCAGAACGTCCTGTTTGGGAAAAAGCTGAAAGAAACACGACATCTTTAAACCCGAGACCCAGAACCACACGAGGGTCCGGCAGAGGAGCCGTACCTCCAGGTCGTTGTTGAGCCCGTGGTCCTGGTTCTGCCAGCGGGCCTGGACCAGGACTCCGGTGCAGAGGATCAGAACCACCAGGAGGACCGTGTCCCACAGCTGCTGCAGGTATTTCTGTGGATCAGAACATCATGTCTGGGTCGGTTCCAAGATGAGCCGAATAAAAAGAGCTGAAGTTAGCAGCTAAAACTAACTGAACCAAAGCTAAATGCTAAAATCAGCTAAACTGGAGAAATGCTAAGCAGTACCATAGCTAAAAACTAGCTAAACATTGCCTTAGTAAAACAGTAGCTTAAAGCTAAAAGGAGCTAAAAAAGCTAAAATTAGTAAAAGCTAAAAGCTAGCTACAAGCTAATTAAAATAGCTTAAAGCTAAAAGGACCAAAAAAGCTAAAATTAGTAAAAGATGAAAGCTAGCTACAAGCTAATTAAAAATAGCTTAAAGCTAAAAGGACCAAAAAAAGCTAAAATTAGTATAAGATGAAAGCTAGCTACACGTTAATAAAAACAGTAGCTTAAAGCTAAAAGGAGCAAAAACACAGCTAAAATTAGCAAAAGCTGAAAGCTAGCTACAATTTAATTTCAAAAACAGTAGCTTAAAGCTAAAAGAAGCAAAAAATGCTAAAATTAGTAAAAGATGAAAGCTAGCTACAAACTAATTAAAACATAGCTTAAAGCTAAAAGGACCAAAAAAAAGGCTAAAATTAATATAAGATGAAAGCTAGCTACAAGTTAATAAAAACAGTAGCTTAAAGCAAAAAAGGAGCAAAAAAGCTAAAATTAGTAAAAGCTAAAAGCTAGCTACAAGCTAATTAAAAATAGCTTACAGCTAAAAGGACCAAAAAAGCTAAAATTAGTATAAGATGAAAGCTAGCTACAAGTTAATAAAAACAGTAGCTTAAAGCTAAAAGGATCTTAAAAAGCTAAAATTAGTAAAAGCTAAAAGCTAGCTAAATGCTATTTTAAAAAATAGTAGCTTAAAGCTAAAAGGACCAAAAAAAGCTAAAATTAGTAAAAGATGAAAGCTAGCTACAAGTTCATAAAAACAGTAGCTTAAAGCTAAAAGGAGCAAAAAACCAGCTAAAATGAGCAAAAGCTGAAAGCTAGCTACAAGTTAATTTCAAAAACAGTAGCTTAAAGCTAAAAGGATACACAAAAGCTAAAATTAGTAAAGGCTGAAAGCTAGCTACAAGTTAATTAAAAACACAGTATCTTAAAGCTAAAAGGATACACAAAAGCTAAAAATTAGTAAAAACTAAGCTAGCTACAAACTAATTAAAAAATAGTAGCTTAAAGCTAAAAGGACCAATAAAAGCTAAAATTAGTAAAAGGTGAAAGCTAGCTACAAGTTGATAAAAACAGTAGCTTAAAGCTAAAAGGAGCAAAAAGGCAGCAAAAATTAGCAAAAGCTGAAAGCTAGCTACAAGTTAATTAAAAAACACAGTAGCTTAAAGCTAAAAGGAGCAAAATATTTGCTAAATGCTAAAATGTAAAACTACAGGCAAATGCTGAAGTGAGCAGAACCATAGCTAAAAGATGAAATTATTGTTCGGAGCAGCTGGTGTTTGTGTCGGCTGTGTGTGTGTGTGTGTGTGTGTCCCCCCCCACAACACACACCTGGACCTGAGAGTTGGTCTCCCCGGTGCAGATGACCCCCTGCCACTCTCCGTAGAGACCCCCCCTGGACCGACCACAGCTGGACCACAGCGTGAGCGTGGCTCCCTGTCAGAACACACAGCAGCATGAACTCTGCTCTCCACCAGGGGGCGCCAACAACTCACACAGTTACACACAGAGACAGACACCAGTGTTGTATTTGTACCACAAAGTGATACTTGAGTAAAAGTACAAGTATTTTACCAAAACTTACTTTGGTAAAAGTTAAAGTCTCCTTTAGTAATATTACTTGAGTAAAAGTCTTAAAGTATCTGATATTTTT